TCTTTGTTTGTCAAACTTACACTCATTTGTCAGCTGAGATATTTGCATCATAAATTTAGATTAGTTAAGTGCAGCCAGTAGTCTCGGGCTCAAACCCAATACACCCCTTATCCCTACTCCTTAATTTTTGCGTTCACATCTGGGATATGGTGTTGTTGCCATAGAGGGGTGGGGCAATGTGTTGGGGCTGCATGGCCCTCCAAAGAGGCCTCACAAATGTATCTTCTGCTGACCAGGGGCCGTATTCACAAAGCTTCCTAGCACCAAGAGTTGCTCCCAGTGATGACATTATAAGAAAGTTCTTAAAATTATGACGTTTCCTAAGAATTTCCCCTTAAAATTAAGACTAGGTCCTGGTAAAGATGAAAGTTGTTCACAAAGCATTGTATCTCTTAACAGAGGAGGACTTTTGAGAGGCTTAAGAGTTTCTTAAGGAGAGGAGATAATACCAGACAGACAAAGATGTAGGACCAATAATTTCCAATTACTGAATGAGAGTGAAACATGCTACAAATTAGATTCTGCAGGGATAATGTTTGTGATCGATTTCATCAAGGATATGCACACATGTTCAAAGAATGTGTCATACCTAGCAACGGGGTCAACCGCGCCTTCTCACTAAAGTAAAAGCTGCTCAGAGTTTCTCTGAGAACTTTTTTAAATCACACCTAAGCTAGGACTCCTCGCTTAAGTTTTTTAGGCAAAGTTAGGAGCTCTTTGAGAGTATTCTCAGCACGTTTGTGAATACAGCCCCAGGCACCCTGAAACGCTAATCAGCCTTCCTTCCAATTTTTCCCAGTGGCCACTCGCAGTATTGCAGCAAAAAAATCCTCTGTGGCCCAAAAATCATTTTCCCCATAAACCACTATTGTAAAAGAAACATCTTTAAAACGGTTGACAGGACACCTTGACTTGTAAACTGTGTCTGTTATAACTCTAAAATCTTTACTGAATATTTGATCCAAGGAGGTTTTAGATTCGTAAAATTTTCTTTAAGCCAAGAAAAGCAATGTAAATATCTGTGACATCACCACAATGTGAAGACTATGAGCAGAGTGGGAACTTGCGAGTGGGACTAGATGGAGAAATACTACTGCGCATATTCAGTGGGCTGCATACCACAGAAGTACACTCGGAAGCTAGAAAGTTTTTTGGCATATGCGCCAGGCAGGCAACTCTGTTGGAGTCAATAGGTACCGTCTTAAGGTCTGATATCTAGCCATATATATGCATCTACTGTACAGACTGGCGGGGTATGTCGGAGCACGGGTTGCTAACATTACCCTACAGAACAGCGCTAGTAGCCTGGTAATGAAGTACTGCTGTATTTTATTTGAGGAGCTTTTATTGATTGATAAGAGTGAAACTGAAGTTGTGAAATAATCCCAAGCGTCCATGGTTTTCTGTCTACATCAGATAAATACCAAATGTCATTGTGGTTATTGCCATGGATAAGCACCATGAGTGACAATACTGAAAACATATTAGGGTTTTGAAGGGTTCTTCCATTTCATAATGGAATATTTCAACCACTATCCCTCTAACTCTGCTCTGAGGGGCAAAGAGACACTTATAAACAAGGCCGTACAAATAAACAACATGCATTTATATCACTAGGCAGGTTTTTAAGTGTAGGTGAGGGTCCGTGTGCCTGTGCTTGCATACTGCAGTGTATGTTTTAGAAATAATTAAATGTCACAGGGCTCAGGCCGTCAAGTAGCCAGGAAGGTGTTTTACGACCTTGTGTCTTGCCTCGCTCCACTACTCCCTCTCAATAACCCACTCCACCACACGCACTAGCGCACCCACAAAAACCCTCTTCACTTTTCTCCCCAGCTGCCTCCTATGCTCTGTCTTTCTCCCTGTATTCTGCCTCCTCCCTCATTCTTCCCTTTACATCTTCCTTCAACCAACAGTGACACTTACAATATCTGTGCTTAGTCTTTTCCGAGCCCTCCCCTTTCCTCCCTCGCAACTGTTGACACTCGACTCTGTGTTCAGCTCCTGGGATTGGTGAATAGTACGTTGCCGCCACTTTCTTCCACTTTTACTGTAGGTACTTTTTTTTTTTTTCTTAGGGAAAAACTAATCCAGTGTGTGAAGTTTTTATGCCAATCCTGCTGAGAGCACATTGCTCTTGTTATCCCTCCTAATTAGAAAATGTGATAGCGCCACTTGTAAATATATTGCAGAGTGAGCCAATCCCCAGGGCTCACTGTTACATTTGGCACAGCCTCTGGGTCTAGGTACCACCTGATATTCAGGTAATGGAGGGGGGGAACGGGGGACTGGAGGTAGGGAGGGATCAAAGGGAAAGATATGGAACAGGTACACCATCTCTCTCTGGGAGGTAGAGTTTCACAGGGCTTTATTTCTACTCTTAAAGGTTTAACTGTTTAAGAAAGTACCTAAAAGTGCAAAAGCCGCAACCATGTTCCACACTTCCCCAAGCTTTAATAAGATCATTAAAGGACCCCGGGGCTGTCTGTTGAGGTGCCCACCAAGGTGTTTCATCACTGGAAGGGTTTGTCAATGTCTTGGGTCTTAGCCCATCTTAACCCATTTAGAAAGCAATTTCCTGTGAGCAGAGGGGATCTTTCCTCTTGAGAAAGATCTTTGGGCATAAAAGGTTAGCTTTTCTGTAATTCCCCAGCAAGCAATCTACCACTGCTGCTAATGAGAAGCGGATGAATATTTGCCCTAGGTTTAACAGCTCAAAATAAGACAAGAGTGAATTGCAGGAACGAGGCAGAAATGTCTGCTAAAGTGGGCAATGTTGCAAGAAGTGATGAAGAAAGTTTGCTCTGAGGATTACCGGAATAAGTGTAGTCAAATAATATTCAGTTTTATTTCTTTTTCCACTAAGGGCTTACCTTGTCTTTGTTAAATATATGCACACAAATGCATATGTATGTTAATGAGTTCATAGTCTGAAGGCTCATTTGTGACAATTTCTTGCTAAGAGTAAGGCCTGCTCGACTTTAAGCTGTGGTCCAATAGGACACAGTTAATTGAGCACGGCGGGGTGACTGGGGAGTATGTTTCCCATTTTAGTCATTTTGGTTCTTTGTGTCTGCAGTCGTCCCGCTGAACCCCAGTCTACCAGGGCTCCCAAGTCCTCGCCATTACAAATGATGAATTGTGCTACAGTTAAGCTAGAAGTAGGACAAATTGATCAAAGTGTCAGGTGCCCCCTGTGATGTCTGGGTCTCCATGAAGAAGGCAGTGAAGAAGGAGCTGTCAAAAAGTTTCTTGTGCCAAGGTGGTTGTAGATAAATGTTTACCTGCCACTTAACACTTTCTGCCTTCTGTCAAACTCACAATGTGTCCTTGCTAGCCTACATAACAAGAAGGAGTAGCTAAAGATCTTGGGAGCTGATACAGTTATAGTCGCGGCAAGTTGCTCACCATATTGTTCTTTAGGTCCGCGGCAGACAAAACCCATGCTCCCCCTTTTAAACCAATGAGCTCGCTATCTGAGGTGTAGTGCTGCAATTTGAGATAAGCACTACTTGGCTCGGCTTTGGTTTTGTTCTGATAAAGCTGGTCTAATTAAGCTTGATTTAATCGGAATTGCTTTTAAGCACAGCACACAGCCGGAACAGATACTTTGATTTCAAAGTAGCCCTTGGGAAGGACTTGAGGAAGAAAGAGAAGGAATGAGATAGAGAGTAAAATTAGTGTGAGTAAGAGTGAAGAGTTGCCTTTTTTTATAATTTGCATAAGACATGTTTCTATTCTTAGTTGTACTGTCTTCTTTTACTTGCATGAATGATTGCAGGTTGGGTGGTTTGTTGCTGGAGGAGAAGGGGAGAACGTGCAGCCCTGACTTCTCTCTGGGAATGGCGAAATGTGTGCCATTTCCTTTAAATTAATCGTGTAGCATTCAGTGTCACCATGTTTTGTTCATAAATTCAATTTGCCTGTGTGTCGTGTCTCTTTGAGCACACGCGGGTAACAAAAGATTGATCACCCTTGCGTCTGGAAAAGTGCTGTGTGCTGAAAGTAGCAGTTGTCTCCACTTATTCTTGAATGTTCGCCTTCAGCCATAGCTGTAAGCGCAGTGGAGAAACAAGACGCCCGAACCCTGATGGTAAACATTGGGGAAGAGCTAGTTCACTCATGTATGCAAAAGAATTGATGGCCAAGTCTCCAGCTCCACAATAAGTCACCCTAATGATCCTAGTTTAAAATAATGTCTGTTCTGGACCAGAATGATAAAAAGGGTGCCCCTCTGACTCATTAGTATCGGGGCTTAAAGATAGATGACCCAGATATAGAACCTAAGCTTATTTTTGAACCCTGTTTCCATTGAGCGCTATGCTGCATGTGCACAGTGTGGGCACAGCTTGTCATGCTGTTGGCCTCGTAGCACTAAAAGTCTCTCCTACCTGTCTCCTCAGCCATGCCGACTGCCTCCAGTTCTGTAGTTTCATGGATCTGCACGACAGCTGGAACGGTGGGCTGGGGGAATGTTTTTCGAAGGCCGGTCCCGGTGTCATTGACTGAACAATGATAGAGCGCCCGGGTATTGAGCGGCTCCACACTAAATCTTTGTAAAGAGCACTTAGCTCCCCTGCGTTAGCCACAGAAAGAATATCTGTCAATGACCATCAGTGAATGCTTTCATCCTGAGGCTCCTCTGCCTGTATTAGTTGCTAAGCTCTAAGTGTATTTTTCCTTCTCCTCAGCTGTTTACCAAAAAAAAAAAAGTAAAGGGCTGAGTGAGTGACAGGCCTCTGTCTCACTCATGCTATCTATAGAAGACTTGTTTAAATGTCACTCAGTTCTCTCGTGCTGTGATGTAGGTAATTTTACATGCACCTTTCATTAGAGGCATCCTAGAATTAGTCCTTGAAGCAGTCGTTGTGTAAGTGTGTGTATGTGTTAATCCATACATGTACAAACCTTTATGCATGTGTTATTATGTACTTCATCCTGTTGTGATAATGGATATTGCATGCTGTAAACATCTTTGCCTCTTATCTGTTCTCTTACAGAGGGAGATGAAACCGGCGTGATGGATAGCTTAATGGAAGCTCTACAGTCTGGAGCAGCCTTCCGTGATCGGCGAAAACGGACACCACGCAACGGTAAGGCAGCAAAAAACACAATTTTTTCTTATTTCTGATAGCGTCACCTGTACTGTAGGGCTGCAACTATTATTGTCACTGTCATTTAATCTATGGATTATTTTGTGAGCCCAAGATGACGTCCTCAATCGTCTTGTCTTGCACACAACCCAAGAATGTTCACTTAGAATTCATAGAGGAGGAAAGATACCAGAAAATATTCACAATTAAGAAGCTGGAATCAGAGAGAGTCTATGTTTTGTGTTCTTAAAGAATTACTCATATTGTTATTATTATTGATGAAATTAGTTGACGATTAATATAACAGTTGACAATCCTTGACTTATTGTTGCAGCTCTACTTACTTGCAGAAAACATCTGTCTGCGGTTTGCAGAAAAAACCCATCTGCTTCCTGTAGTTGTTAAGAGTTTACATGTCATATGAAAGAGGCTTTGCTCTCCAGTTTGTATGTAATACGTGTGTGTAAATGTGCTAATGTCCTTTTGACTGGTCTCAAGGATCCGTGTGTCATACAGCACACGCATGAAACATGAACACGTATAAGGAACATACGCACCACTCAAAAGACGTCATAGAAACAGCAGGTCATTAGCGATTTATTGTCCCTTTGCCATTCATAAAGCACTTATTATAATGTAGCCATGCTGGCTGCAGCTGGACTGAGGCTGATTTAGTGTAATCCTGGTGTTAACACATTCCATTCTGCCATGATGAATGGCCCGTACCCAGGGGAGCACCACCTAGTAGGGGTGCCAGGGTCAATTCATATTCAAGTCAGAGTTCTGCAGAAGAGCCACAGGTGCTGCTATCTCCATGCTGGCAATCATGGGAGGGAAAAAAAGAGGGAGGACGGGGGGGGGGATCAAACCAATGGTTGGGTTGGACGGTTCTGCAATAGACAAGTGTACGCACTGCAAAGCAAGCAGCAAAAATAAGCATGTTGGGTTTTTTAGTGTAAAATTTGGGGTTAAATTTCAGCAAATAGACTGTTTTTACTCAATTAAATGCAAAGTGACTTGCTTTTATTATGTGCTATTAAGTTATTAAAGTATTTCAAGTCATTCCAGGTTCATCAGCTGTTGTTATTAGTCACATTTAAACTTATAGAGAGAAGATGAGTGGTAACAGATAAGTGGCTGTTCTGTTAGCATTTCACAGTGAGAGGGTATCTGCTTGGTGCCATGGCCAAGATGATTCCTCTTCCACTCAATCATTTGTTTGTGCTCTTAATTACTTGAAAAGTTTGAAGAAAAATCTGTTTTGCAGTGCTTCAATATCAACACAATTTTCATATGCCAGTAGGCACTGTGACATTGTATGTGTGATCCTGTGACTCCACCAATCATCTCAAGTGAGAAATTTGCAGTGTTTTTACAAAGCAGTAGAATTAATTAATTTCAGAGGCAAAATTGTTACACTAAGAAAACTCCTTCTGCTCTGGTTTTGGGTTATACAGTGCAAGTCATTATCTAAGATTATATTTTAATGCTCTTAGTTAATCAAAGACAATTACTTTCAAAATGTATAATGCATGAAAGACCATTTAACTATGATTAAATGTCATTTAAATTAGATTGTATATGCAGAGTTTTGCAAAAGAAAAAAAAAACATACAGAAGTGAATAACAAACACACATGCACACATACTTCTCTCTTGTTTCATCAGCTTTAACACTGCTCATCAATTCGACATAACCAGCTCCATTCTTCACTCACACCTTTTTCATCCCATATTTCGGTGTTGGGGTTTAATGTGAGCTGGTGTCTGTCTCCAGCTGTGTGTCCAGGTGTCTTTGCAAACCTCAAACCTCTAGGAGCGGTTCATTCCTTCCAAATATCTGATATGTGTCACCTCTGATGCCTTTTTTCTCTTTTCCTTCTTTCTCCATCCTCCCATCCTTCTCTTTTCATTTATTTTTCTTTCACCAACATTATTACAGGTGATCAAAGCCCTTCCAGTCCATCCTCTCGGTGGCCGGGTGCTAACTATGGTAACAGAACTCTAGGTGTGTGCCTTTAACTACCTTTTTAACCCAGACCAAGCACCACCCTGTCTCCTGCTGCACTTCTCCTGGCTGCATAACCCACATGTCTTTCCTGTCAGAACACTCAAGCTGAGCTGGTCTACAACATGCAGAGTGCTGTGATGAGTTACTGAATTTGACTCAGTAGAATATGTAAGATTTACTCTATGTACAAAAGCAACCATGGAAACTTTAGATGGATCACAAATTTAAATCAAAACCAAGACAAGACATACTGCTTGTTAACTTTCACATCTCCTCGCTGAGAAAAGCAGCACAAGTTTTAAAATAAATCAAAACGTACTTTAAGAAATTTATAATTTAACTTGCAGCATTGATTCATAGTGAATCTACAATAATGTCATTAAAAACGTTTCATGTTTCGAAACGCAACATAGATGAAATCGAAACACTCGTAACTGAAGATCGCTGTTCGCTTCACTTGAACTCACATTTTGCAATTGCACATCAAAAGAATTGGCTAATTACTGATGTCCATTAGCAGCGCTCTAAAGTTGGTTATAATCACCATATGTACAGCTTGTAGCTGATAGTGCTCTCTTCCTTATGTTTCTCAGATAACACTTCTCTGTGCACATATTTTTAGAGCAAACAATACAAAAGGAAAACAACAAGCCATTTTAAGTCCTTGCTACTACGGAGGTGTAGCATAAGGTAATATTACCCCAGTTTCTCTGGAAACATAAGAAAGCAACTATGCTTTTGGTTAATGGCCAAAAAAGCAGAAATTCACAGATGAATTGTGCCATGTGTTTATTAGAAACTTTTTCACACAGCACTGTGGAAAGCTTGAGTAGATGACAAGACCATTGGAGGTCACAGCAAATTGATGTCAATTGTAGAAGTCAGTATTAACTAAAAAAACAAAATATAACTAATAATAATAATGCAGCATATTTCATTACCGGTTATAGATTTACTTTGCACATAGGATCACAGTAAAACATACAGCAGTAGAGGAGGAAACTCGGCCTGGGGAGACTATAATGGCCTTTTATGCTTGTACTGCTGATTGACATGATGTAAATCTTACATTGAATACCTTTGAAATCCAATACAGTAAAGTACGCAAGCATTGACATTGCCCTTACGTCAACCTCCTGATCCTAAATGTTTAATCTTGTAACACTAATATAATCCTAATGGCAGTCACGCTACTGAAGAAAATAGTTTTGGATTCACTCAGCATCATTTGTGTCTTGAAGAGCAGCTCCAGTTATCATCCAGTTGTCTAGCTCTGTATGTTAGCTTATGCTTTTGCAGCATGATAGCACTTCCTGTCTTGAAGCAATGTCAAGGAAGTGTTCTGCTGGGGAGGTCTGTAGACCTCCATGCTTTGGCCAGTCATAATTGTTGTGTGCAATACCTTTCTTCTTCCCTGTTTGTTTGGTAAATATCAAAATGATGTGCCACAGCACCCAAGATATGCCTCTTTCTGAAGGATCTTTTCCTTGTATGATATCCTGGGCAGGCCTACTTTGGGGCAACTCTGCTTACAAATTAATCCTCAGCCTCTGACAGATTGATGTTGTGTGTCGCAAACACGTCTCTGTTCCTATGATATGTTTACTCTGTTTTGATTGCATGTCCAAGAACAAGACATTGTGCTGGTGTATTTATGGAGAGTGCATGTTGTCAGTGTGTGTGGTGTGATGCTAAGACAATGAATTATTTATTTATTTATTGAAAAGTAACTTCAGAGAAAGAAACTTCTCCTCTGTAAAATGTGTTAACATTTAATTAACAGGAAGCTTTTAATGTGATTTTTAGGTAAGACAAGGAAAGGTCCTTGGCAAGCTGACACCTGGCTATGAAAACTGTCTCTAAAGACGTGGAACATTATCTCCACGTCTCTGAAGACGTGGAAAAAGCTGTTGCTCGTTCGCAAGGTGTCAAAGTAATAATTAAATGTAGTTTGGCTCATCTCTATGCGCAATGCCATCTCGGGAACCAAACTCCTGGACAGTTTTTATACTAAAAAATGTGACAATCACTGGGTAGGTACGGGGACGCTCATTAGCACTGCTATGTTTGATTTTTTCAATGAACATTGGCGTTGACAAAAGCTCTGACTGCGAAGCCAGGAGCAAGGTGAAGTACCAGGGCGTCTATGAGTCTCTGTGGGTCCTGAAGAGGGCACCACACCATAGCTCTGCAGGGGGAGGAATGATTGTGTGGATCGATGGGTAGGAACGGCATGCCTGAGCAGGCAGGGTTCTGATACTTGGCTGAAACCTTGTTCATGTTCTAGGTCACTGAGGTAATCCAAAAACTACACAAACTTTATCGTGTTTGTTGTTTTCTGAATGGATCTTAAGGGGCAGCAGAGAAATGGAGAGTGTCACTTCGGATGAACTTATTGCATCCTTTCTGTTTGGAGATGATGTCCTCTTGGCTTCACTGGGCCGTAACCTCCAGTGTAACCTTGGCTGTATGCACCAAAACATGAAGTGGGTGGGAAAATGACGAAGTGACCCCTTTGGGTCGAGAGCAAGTGGCTTTCCCCAAGTGAAGGAGTTCAGGTGTATCATGGTCTTGTTCATGACAGAGGGTAAGACTGGGCATGAGACGGAGGGGCAGTTTGTTTTAGCTTCAGCAGTGCTGTACTTTACTGTCTTGGTAAGGACGGAGCTAAACATGAAGGTAAAGCGCCCGATCCAGTTTCAATCCTCACCAATGGCTATGAACTCTGAGTAGTGACCCGAAAAATTAGATTATGAATAGTAATGGCAGGTTTCCTTTGCTGGGTGTCTGGATTTCTCATGATGGAAAGAGCCCTCAACAGAAGTGCAGTTCTTTTGTCTTTTGTCAGTTGAGGTGGTCTAGCATCTGATCAGGATACGTCCTGATCACCTTCCTCATCTGCTGATGTATTCTTTGGCCTTGTCCACATGTACATGGGTATATTTCTTTGTCATGTTTTCGTCCAGACGCAAAATGTGTTTTAGGTCACTGAAAACAGATCTTTTGTAAAACTCCACCCAGAAGGAAGAAACTCTATTTTCAGTTTTTGGCTTGAGATATCAGAGTGTGCGCCATTATCTCTTTTGTGTGGTGTCACAGATGAGGTGACATTTCTTACAATGGCGGACGTGACCAAAATGATGTGGGCTGTAACCTCGCTAACAGGACCTTTTACATGTTACACATAAATGTACAGTTGCTCTACGACTATATTAGGGAACAAAGGTGTCAGAATGCGCTACAGAGGTCACTGCTCCAGGTAGCCTTCTGATAGTAGCTTCTTTCAGGCTTCCGATTGGCCCACATTGTCTTTCTAGCGTGGCTTTAAGATTGTATTGCCACCTGCTGGTTTGGCATACTCTTGACAGTGCTTTATTCTGCTTTTTACTAGGACATTGGTGTTTTTTTAAAGCAGTGCTAATGTGGATGTGAATTCTTTTGGGAATGATTGAGTTGAGAACCCCTTTTTCAAAAATACCTGTGTCCATGTAGACTGGGCCTTGGCATACCCATGTGGTAGAAGACCCAGACCAGAGTCCTGAATCAGGTCAGGTACCTGTGGGTACTCGGTAGGTGATTTGCGGGTGTTATTTTTAAACAATATTATCTTAGTTTTTCATGTGAAAAGTCCCAAAATGATCACTTTAAACATGCTGCTTAACCAAATTATTCAAACAGCTCATGGTTATTATAGGATTTGTGGCTTCAGGTCTTGTTTGGGTGCGTCGATTTGCACAACTAATTGGTCATATGTGCGGGTGGTGGGCAGGTGTGGTATTGCATGTCATGGTTCCGGTTTAGGAGCGGGTTTTGAAGGTCAGACCCTTGCAGGACTCTGACCAAGACCAGGAACATGCTTGTGGGATATACCCCACTTGTAAGATGGTGACTGGGTGGGTGCAACCTTGACCCTGATAAGTACCGGTAAAAATGGTTGACCATCCAGTGCACTATATTCTGTGTCATGGGATCATTGCAAAACTAAATAGTGACTTTGTTTATGAAAATCCTTGATATATCATTGAATATTGTGTATGTCTGTGACCTATTTTCCTTTTCTTGAGAGACAACCAAGATAACTGCTGTCCTTATGATGGCTCTCTCCTCTGCAAGGCATTGTGCATTGGACCCTTCTCAGTGCACTTTCTTTCCAAGTGCACACCATTATGCTACTAAAATGCATTATACACTGACGGCTCCCTGTTTATTGATATGGAACCTGAACTGTGGTTTGATAAACAGCTGCATGGATTCTCTACTCTGAGGTGATGAGAGAGGAAAATCCTTTTGACATGCCGGCTCCATGGATTTTTTTCTAAATAGAATCTGGAAATGAGTTCACTTGCTATAGAGCATAGGGGGAATTTGTGCGTAAAGATTTCTGTTTGTCCCCTTTCACAAGATGAGACAAATTCTCCCTATGCTCTATAGCAACTGAACTCACTTCCAGATAACATTTAGAAAAAATAGAAGGGGGCTAACAGAAATCTTTACACACAGTTTCAGTTTTTGTTTTTTTTCTGTGAAGAGAAAGAATTAAGTTCCCCAGTGACAGACAATTTGGTGACAAAAGGCATCTCAGTCACTGAAAGCTGTTTTTGGGTTGTTACTTCTTTGTGCATGATGGGAACTGTCAACACTTTAGTCAGTATTTAAAGAATGATGGCATAATTTTTGGGTCAGTACGGCTGCATTAATGTTTATGCACTTCTGTTGTGTACTTATTTGCTTTCTCTCTGACTCGGGGACTGACAGCATTTCAGTTCTGAATCTACTGGTGAGGAAGGAGCAGTTGTATCAGACAGTGTGCCAAATCTATTCACTCCTGCTTGTCATGTCTGTTGTAATCTCATGCTTTAAAGCTTGATTAACCTCCTGTCATCCTCAAACGAGCAGCGTGTACCAGAGAGAGTCTCTCAGAGTCGCACAAGAATCTCCGCTTACGTCAAAGGAGTTCATTTAAACCCAGCATGTAGTTTTTGTTGTCCTTCAGGCTA